TAGCTGCTCCAGTCAAATCATGACGATCAAAAGCGACACAAAGCGGCATCAGTCGTCCATAAAGAAATAAACATGAAGTCCTGGTATGATTTACAGGACAATGACTGGAGTAACAACACATCAAAGAGCTGAGTAGCGACACAGTTCAGAGTGTGCACCTGTAAATCCAACTGTGTGTGTTTGCGTGTGGGTGCGTGCGAGTGAGAGCGCGAGTGTCTTCAGCCTTCCTGCCATGCCGGAATTGCACAACTCGGCAAGAACAGGAGAAAACTGGATTAGTGGGAAGGCTTTACACATGAGATGTCATGTCTCAGTGTTGTCACGCGGTGCGCTCCACTGCAGCTGCAGATCGATTGTGACAGCTCAATTTCAATGACCATGACAAGTCCCAAGTGCTTTAAACATCGACCTCTCTCTTTCTTCTTCTGCTGTTTGCCCAGCTACCTTTTCGATTTAGAAATAAAAGGGTTCTTTTGATGTTTCACCACAGAGAGGTCAAGAAAGTGTGCCCTTTGAACCCAGTGAAAGTGCATGTTTCCAGTGTGAATGATCAATATTATTGTGCTTAATGATAATGCTGACAAATGACTGCCCACTTCAAAAGCTGTTTCGCCTGAGCTATCATGATTTATTTTTTTCCCCACAAGTGCCATTTGTAGTTTCCCATGAGCCTCATTTATTTGCTACGGAGTTCAAAGAAATCACAGGTTCAAGTTTTATATCAGAAGAATGAAAGCAAACAAATAAATCAATTCTCCACACTGGAGGTAATGCATCCGTGGGCTCGACATCAGATCATTTCCTAACCAAGAATCCAAGCCTCCATGGCATGTCAATTATCCATTCATCCATCCATTTTCTGATCCACTTACTCTCACAAGAGTCGCGGGGGGTGCTGGAGCCTATCGCAGCTGTCTTCGGGCAGTAGGTGGGGGGCACCCTGAACCGGTTGCCAGCCAATCGCAGGGCACACAGAGACGCTCACACTCACACTTTTCATGCCTCCCTCACACTCAAGGATCAGAGTTTAAATCTCTTCTTTGGCCTCTTTGTGTGGAGTCTTGAATGTTCTCCCCTTGCGTGGGTTGCCCATGTAGACTCCTGCTTCCATCCACATACAAAAAAACATGCAAGTGAGGTTAATTGAAGACTCTAAATTGTTCACAAGTGTAACTGTGAGTGTAAATAGGCAGTTGGCTTGTGATTGGTCCAGGATACATCAGGCCTCTGGCCAAAGTCAACAGGCATAGGCTCTAGCTCACCTGCAGCTCTATGATGACATTCTGTGTTGGAAATGGAAGGATGGATGGTTCAAGGAAAACATTTCTAATAATTTGCTCTAAGTTGCATAGTTTTGATACAGTATATGTCATGGCAGTGTAAATAAAAAAAACATGCATGGAATACTGTAGTATATCATCCAATCGGAAGCAGACCTCTTCCAAAATTGGATCGGAATATAATATGTATTAGATATTTGTATTCTTGGTTAATATCCTCTATTTTGCTTTTGAATTGTCAAACACTCAAATGCACATCATGACAGGTTACAGTTTTTGTGGAAGAGTTTAATGCCCCCCCCCCCCATGTCATTTTTGTGATGGATATTTATTGGGAATGCAGTCAGAGAGAGCAAGTTTTGAGAAGGGACAGACAGAAAGAAAAGAGAATACAGATCAAAAACAACAGTCATCTCTTTCATTAAAAACACGTGACATTTTTGGGGGAGGGAGTGAGAAGGTAATAGCATTGCCATTCGTTTCAATGGGGAAAAATGTTTTGCGTTACCGTGTGGTCAGGTAATGAATTCAATTCGTATCCCTATCCCAAGGCAACATTGCATGTTGAAAGTAAGAGAGAAATGTCATTCAGTATATGATATTTGAAATGGCAAAATCAATACAACAACGTCGTCATATTGCTCAACTACAATGAGTGTAGTATAGTATTTTATTCTACGATAATGTACATTCGTAGAGGTAACGTCATTTTGCCTTTTATTCTGAAGGTCAATACCGGATGTAGCTGGGATGTATTAATTTTGTGTGGCGTCAGAGTCCATGGACAAGTCGCTCACATCTGCCAGCGCCGAGTAACTCCATCTCACTCACAGCTCATCTCTCGCTGTCTTCCTCCCCGCAATCTCATACATTTGCACCACCCGGGGACCTGCCGGAACGCTCGCCGAAAGAAGAGCGCCATGGCCCGCGTGGTGGGAGAAGGGATGCCTGAGTCAACCGTAGGAGTAGGTGTGATGCTGAACCGGCGGAGGGGTAAAGGCAGGCGGAGAAAGCGAAAGGAGTTGTTCGCTGTACAGATGTGCTTCATGGGGTTTCTGCTGGGACTGGTTGTTGGGCTCAAGAATGTGACACAGAAAGAAGGTGAGAAACACGTACAACATGAAGTCATGTGGAGTTTGGGGGAAAAGACTCACAGGATGTTCGAAGGCTGCAAATGTCAAGCGTTTCATGAATCATGATTGTCTACTATTTGCTCAAAAATCAGATTTGTATTTTATTTTATAACCTCGTATGTTGTTATTATTATTATTATTATTATTATTATTATTATTATTATTATTATTGCACACAGGATATAGTTTGGACGCCTGCCTCACAGTCGAGAGGTTCTGCGTTCAAATCTCAAACCATGCATGCTCTCCACATGCTGGTTTCTCAACCATCCTCCCACATTCCCAAAACAAACATAAAAGCTTAAATAAAAGATTAAATCGTCTATAGGTGGAAATATGATTGTTTGTCAATATGTGCCTTACGCTTGGCTGGTGACCAGTCCGGGGCATATGTGTCAACTAATGTCAGATGGAATAGGTTATAAATGACTCATGGCCCTTCTGAGGACTTTTGGCATTGAAGAAGGGTGTATATTATTAATAATATTAACAATAATAATAATAATAATAATAATAATAATATACAAACCATTAGCATCAGACAAATGGTGAGGATTGTTCTGAGGTCTCCAACAAGCTGACACATTTGGATGCGGCAACTGTCAAGACCTATTTTTTTCAGTGTTTTTTTTCCTCACATTATTTAGTCAGAAGATCACCCCAAAAAGTTGTTGATGGAAAAAAATTACATCTTTGGTGAAATTGGTCTGGATTTAAAATATTAATAATTACAATTTAGGCAGAGATTAAACATCGGTTTTCATGGTTGGGATGTGAGACTACTCGCTCTCCGAGTGTGCAACCTAAATATTAACAGAGGACAACAATCGATTATGTGCAGAGGATATTGGCTCCCTCTCTGAATATTGTTGACTTTTCCCAAACACGAGGGTATTCTGTGTGAACGGCATTTCATTTGGAAGCAGGAATCAAAAAGTCTGTCCATTGCTTTGGAAATTAGCAAAAGCGAGATTAAAGGCTCATATTACAATGGCTAATAATCTTACCTCACTTCACCGTTACATGCATGTCAGTTAGTCTTTTGGCAGTTAGTCTTTTGGCAGTTTCCGTTTTTGTGATTTTTTTTTCCTGGATACTTTGTCCTCCTCCCACTACCTCAACATATGCATGTTTGGTAAATTAAATATTCTAACTTGCCATCGGTGATTGTGAATTCTTGTTTGTCTTGTGCTTCAGGCTTCCACCAAGACGTGTGAGTGATTTACATGCTGTCTTTCAATCATTTTTTTTAGTCATACAAAACAAATAGAAGTGAGAGTTATTCATTGATCAGGCTTATCACAGCGGTTCCTATTCCTACTTATGCACCTTTTTGTAACGGCGCTCCCTTTTATTAATGGTTTGCAAATTACTTTGTGGCACCCCAGGTGTCTTGGGACACAACAGTGGTTATAAAGTCACTTTACTTGTCGCAACAAATAACAGTCAGCACTAGCTGACATGCTGTTGCTCTACTTTCAGACATGTTGAGCCTCAATTGTTTGTTGTTGTGCAAGAAGGCATGTTCAGTACTTGTCACACGCAATAGCATCGACATGTTCGTATTGTTAGTATAGTATAGCGGTACTTGCTTCATGCAGACAGTGCCAGTTCAAATCCTGGTCAGTGATGAAAAAATGAATGTTGAGTTTAATCAATTACTTTTCAATTTTCCACATCCAGATAAGTAGACCATGCATCTAATGTAGCTCAATCCAGTTGATTCCATTGGGTGCAGACACTTGAAAAAATAAAATTGAGTTAATTCAACACACCGTTTTTTTTCAATGCATGTGAGTGACTCGCTGTGGGGACCCCTAATTGGCTAAGCCAAATTCGCAAACCAATTTTGTCACTCTCTATAAGCCACATTGACTGCTGCACTTGCACATTCCACTTTTACTATATCTAATTATTGATTATTGACATCTATGATCAAATTAATCCAAGAATTGATTATTTCGGAACAGGAGAAGCGGTAAAGAATTAATGGTGGAATGGATCTTTTTTTTTAGATTGTGTAAATTCCGAACTGTCACACCTAGGCCTACTGTTTTATGAAGACAGTATTTTCTGGAGATTGATTTGAAGCATTCACGGTCAAGATTAACCCTACAGTGACACCCACAATATCTTGAACTGAATGTGAAACTGAATTTCACAAGTTATTTCTGCATACATGTTTATTACGTGACTAATTCTGACTAGCCGCTCACACTCTGGGTTTGGAGTTCCAATTCCACATCATGCTTTTTTGTGTTGGGTATGCATATTGTGATAATTCTTGTATAAGGGGCTCTGTTGTCTCCAGCTTCCTAACATATTACAAAAACATACATGGTGAGTCAGAAAGTATCCCGTCGATGTCAATTTGAGTGTGAACCGCTGTGTGTCTATTTGTACCCTGTGACAGATTGGTTGTACGCCCTCACTCACCCAAAGTCAGTAACCCTTAATTTGAGATGTGGTAAAAAATGGACTGATAGACTAATTGTGATATGGGCCTCTAAATGGTTATGCTGTGATGCTTGTAACCAGTATCGGTATCTGCGCTGGTACTGTACGTCTCTACTTGTCGTCAGACTTGAACTACGTGTGTGGCAAGACTGTTGGAAGACCATGTTACTAATGACAAGTTGTTAGTCTAAAATGTGTTATATTTGAGTGAAACCTATGCCATGTGAAAGAAAATGTTCTGTTGTGAGTGTGAGTGTGTGTGTGTGTTTGTGTGTGTATGTGTGTGTGTGTGTTTACACGTAACGGCATTATTATGTAAGGATGTTTACTTAACTCTGCCTGAAAAAATGTACTACAGTAGTGATGTACATAAATCCATTCCTCTGTCGTATTTCCCCCCGCCTGAAATAAAAAGGGAAATTCTATGCACACAAATGACAAAAGCTCAATATGACCGAGGGATTAGCCATATGAGCGGCTATTATCTACAGGTTTTAATGCCCTCTGAACTTTGCTACTCAAGCTTAAGTCTCTTTTTCATCCATCTGTGACAAACGTGAAAGACAAATAAATGGTATAGAAATGCTTGCTTGGTATGAGTATTAGTGCTGCCATTACCTGATTGCATAACTCAAACCTTTGGTTGTTGCGTCTCCTTCTTTGTGTTTGCTAGCGGGATGGGTTGAGGGAGGGAGGGGGACACAGATGGAGCACTTTGCACTGACAAAGCCTTGGGACTCAGAGCAGAGGAACAGAATTAGACAAAAAGGAAAACAGACAAGAGTGCAGTGAGTGCTGAGGAGAGGAACGGGATCATGTGGGGACAGCGAAGGCGAGGAAATAAGGAACAGTAGGATGAAGGAGATGTAGAAGGAAGAGACAGAAACAGAGTGAGGCGGAATTTGAGAACAATAAATGGGTTAGACAAGGCAGGTGAAGGAGAGGAAAATATGGAGATGACGCGTGTGTGCTATTAACGTGAAAGGAGGAATATGGCACATGCTTTGAATTGATTTAATTACAATTGAGATTGCTACACTTTAATTCGATCACCACTTGTCAGTATCTTTCATCGATGCATTTGTTTTTTTTCTTACTGTGGGACCACTACTACGGTATCTCTCACTTCATTAATAAAATAATTGCACAGACAGTCTCATGCATCCACGGCTCACATTCACATAACAAGAAAACTGAAGTGCAAGCTCAATAATGGAGCATCATGGCCATGTGAGGTGTCACCTTCCTCAGAGCCATCGCCACAGGCAGAGCAAACTCACGGAAATGTTATAATTTTTCAAGTGTAACTGGTTTGGGTTTTTTGCATAGATGCTGTGGGTCGATGAATTAAATATGTATTCTTTGTGTTAGTAAGAGGAGCTACGAAGATGATTTGTGTGCACTTTTGACTGCTTGTCAAGTCAGGAGTAAGTGATTTACGTGACGTGTTAATAATGTTAAGAGTTTTTATTCACCCAAGTGTAATATCCATCCATCCATTAACTGAAGCGCTTTATTCTCAGGAGGGTCGCGGGCGTCCTGAAGCCTATCCCAGCTGACTTCGGGCAGTAGGTGGGGTAGACCCTGACTTGCCAGCCAATCGCAGGGCAAAGACAAACAAACAATCAGACTCTCAATCGCACCTACGTACAATTTAGAGTGATCAGTTAACCTACCGTGCATGTTTTTATGGAATGTGGGAGGAAACCGGAGGAAACCTACGCAGTAATGGGTAGAACATGCAAACTCCACGCAGGAAGGCCAGGGCCTATGATCGAACACAACACGTTTGGATAGGTGGCAAAAAAGACTGTGAAAGTTGAGGAATGCTCTTCAAACACACATCTCAATGTGAACAGACCAATTCAGAAGAGGTTGATGCCATGATGCGATATAAAAGGAGCTTCCCTGAATAGCTTAGTCATTCACAAGCAAAGATGGGATGAGGTTTACCTCTTTGTCAACAACTGCATGAAAAGCTAGTCGAACTGCATGTAAGCGGCAAGGCCGAAAACCAACATTGAATACCGGTGATCTTTGACCCCTCAGGCAGCACTGCACTGCATCAAAAACCAATATCGGTGTGAAAAGAATATCACCAAATGGACTCGTGGACACTTCAGAAAACCATTGTCAATTATATGCTAACTGCAAGTTAAAACTCTGCTATGCAAAGCAAAAGCCATTTATCAACACTCAGAAATGTCGTCGGGTTCTCTGGGCCTGAATTTATCTGAGAGGGACTGATTTAAAGTGGAAAAGGGTTTTGCGGTCTGACGAGTCCACATTCCAAATTCTTTTTGGAAATTGTAGACGTTGTGTCCTCCAGACCAAAGAGGAAAAGAACGATCCGGACTGTTTTGGACACAAAGTTCAAAAGAGTGTGGGTACTAGACTGGCCTGCCTGCAGTCCAAACCTGTCCCCCATTGAAAATATGTGGCCCATTATGAATCGTAAAATACGACAATGGAGACCCTGGACAGTTGAACAGTTGAAGCCGTTCATCAAGT